CCCATCGGCCCTCCCTCGCTCCCTTTCTCCTTATTTCCTCCCTCGCCTTCTCCCTCCTCCCTCCGGTGGCGTTACCTACATCGGCCCTCCGTCCTCCTTCACTTCGTGCTCTATTATCTGTGGACGATATAAAGAGTGCATTCCGTTTTTCTTAGCTTTTTCAATTTGCATTAAGGCTTAGCGCCACTTCATTTTCAATGTGAATAAGGGCGAGCGTGTGCTCTCGCGCGTGCGGTCGCACAGAGCGAAGGGTGTGGATGTTGGGGGGGGGGGGGGGGGGGGGGGGGGGGGGGGGGGGGGGGGGGGGGGGGGGGGGGGGGGGGGGGGGGGGGAGGGGGAGGGAGAGAGAGAGAGAGAGAGAGAGAGAACTGACTCAGTCTCGTGTGTGTAGGGATTGGGGGGAATGGAGCGATCTTGATAACAAACGACGCCTTTACGTCCAAGGATAAAGGAAAATAAGTATTTCTTACGTCGGGCGTTAAGAAGGAAGGGCGGCCGGTCGAGGGAGGAAGGGGGAGGTAGGGAGTAGGACGGAGGGAGGAATGGAAGTAGGAGGTCAGGTGGTGATTGGGCTGAGGAAGGGAGGGGAGGGAGGAGATCGAGGGAAGGTGGTCAGACAGAGATCAAGCGAACGAAGGGGCGAGCGAAGGGGAATGAGGCGGCCAGGTGGACGGAGGCCAGGGGGAGGTTGAAGAGAAGGTGCGGAGGAGGCCTGTAGGAGGTCAGGTGGAGACCGGACAAGGAAGGAAGGGGAGGAATGAGATTGAGGGAAGGAGGAGGTCAGTGCAAATTGGGCGGAGGAAGGAGTAGGACGGAGGAGATAGAGGGGAGGTCAGGCGGAGCAAGGAAAGGGAGTCAGGTGGCCAGGCGAGGGAGGGGAGAGGTTGGTTTAAGAGAAAGTCCAGAGGAGGCCGGGAGAAAAGGGAGGCGGAAGGGGTAGGGCGAAGGGAGGACAGAAAGCTGAACGTAGTTCAGAGGTCGAGTGACGTATGGAGGAAGGGAAGAGGTAAGGGGGAGACGAGCATGGGAAAAAGCGTGAAGAGGAAGAGGCGGAAGTGGAAGGAGGCCGGGAGGAACGGGAAAGACGGCAGGGTGAAGTCAGGCGGAGGGAGGGCAGAGGTTGGGCGGGGTACGGAGCAAGGGAAGAGGTCAGGTAAAGGTGGGGGGGGAGAGAGAGAGAGAGAGAGAGAGAGAGAGAGAGAAATGGATTGATGAAAGAGGGAGAATGAAGAGGGGCGCGTGAGAATTGGGGAAAGTAGGGGAGAGAAGGGCAGCAGAAGCCACAGTAGGATGAGGGGAGGAAAGAGTTTGAGGAAGAGGAGGGGGCGCATGGCACAACGTCATGGGAGGGAAGGGACAGTCAACGGGTAAGGATGGTACAGTGACGAAGGGGAAGAGTGGGAGGGATAGCAGTACATGTCATGGATGGGGGAAAGATGGGGGGAGGGGGAAGGGCTAAGGTGGAGTTTGGAAGGCCCAAAATCGTGCCGCGTGGCAGCGCCACGAGGAGCGATTTTTTCTGTATTTCTTTTTTTTCCCCTT